TCCCCTCTGGTCACTGTCAGCCTGTTCTCAATTTCAGTGTCTTTGGTGATATTTTGCTTGCTTGTTTATTTTCTTGTTTAGCTTCCTGTTAAAGGTGAGATCATATGGTATTTGTCTCTCACTGCCTGGCTTATTTCACTCAGCATAATGCTTTCTAGTTCCATCCATGCTGTTGCAAAGGGTAGGAGCTCCTTCTTTCTTTCTGCTGCATAGAATTCCATTGTGTATATGTACCATAATTTTTTGATCCATTCATTTACTGATGGGCACCTAGGTTGCTTCCAGCTCTTGGCTATTGTAAATTGTGCTGCTATGAACATTGGGGTGCATAGGTTCTTTTGGATTGGTGTTTTAGGGTTCTTAGGATCTAATCCCAGCAGTGGAATTGCTGGGTCAAAAGGCAGCAGACCAGCTCTTTAACACTGTCTAGCTAAACACTGACATAGGAAATAGTTTAAGGTCAAAAGATGGGAAATAATGCGTGTATGTATTGTTTCTAATTCAGGATCCCCCCAGTTTGGGGAGTTTTGCAATATCCTATATAGTTCCGCTTTCCTTTTATCACCCCACCTCAAAGTACTGTGTGTGAACTCAAGAAAAGTGAATTGAGATATAACAAATGACACAAAACCACAGTGAGAATTACTGAATTAGTTAGTGTTGATTAAAACATGTTGTGAAGCACTCATCAGATGGACTTGACATTTCTAAGAAAACAGAATAGATTGAGTTGAGATTTCCAAGAAGGATGAGTTGCTCTTGTTTTAGTTATTTAGCTCCACATCTAGACATTGGTTTTTTGTAATTGTATTATGTAAGATCTGGAAAGCCCCCCTCTTTCCCTCTGACATTACCTTTCCTGATGCAACATAGAGTAGTACATAGTGAGTGACTAAAATGAGAACCTTGAAAGAATTTTAGGGCTTTTCCCTTCTCTTCCAAATCTCTTCACCTTTATTCTGTATTTTTTTTCCTATTTTGAATTGATCTTGTAGGCTGGTGAAATGCTTTAGAATGTTGAAGAGTTACCAAATAAAAACTAAAATAGATGAAAATCTTTAATTGAAAACAGCGCTTTCTGTATTACTTTATTTTTTCCACGTACATTGACTGTTGGCTGATCCGCACAGCTTTCTGCTAGGCATTTTCCTACAGGCCGAGTGCCTTGCCCTCAAGAAATGGACAGTTTCATTGGGTGCCATCCAATAGTACACACTGCAGGGCTATAAATGGGACACGTGAGTGCTCCAGGCTATTTAAAAACTAGATGAATGTTCTTGGACTAGTCATAGTGGATTTTAGAGGCAGTTGGAGGAGCAAGGTTTTCTAGATAAGGCAAATGGCACAGGAACATGGAGGCAGGATGCAATACACAGATGGGCTGGTAAATAAAACTGGATACACGGGTAAGCTGATATTCACCAGGAAAAAGGGGTTCATGGTGAGGAGTAACGTGAGCTAAGTCAGAGAAAACGGCGATTTAGGTTGTGGGGACTGTGAATGCCTAGCTCAGGAGTACGCTTTTAGTATCACTGGCGACAGAAGAGAATTGAAACCTTTTGAGAAAAAAAGGGGCACAAGAAAAGTGGATTAGGGAGATTAATTTGTTGGTGGGATGTAGCCTGGTTTTGAAGTGAGATTGGAGGCAAGAGGAAGCTATTAGGTTGGAGTTGATGCGGGCATCCAGGAGGATGGTTGCTCTGGCAACGTGAAGGAAGGATTGAGCAGGAAAAAGACTGTAGCAAACCAACAATGGGGGAGGGTATATGAGGTTTCAAGTCTGAGCAGGTTGGAAAATGTGGATTTCACTGAGAGAAATAAATAAGAAGGGCTAGTTTGGGGCGATATGGGGGAGACGTGGAAACCTGTTGCATTTAGGTTGTGGGCTGGACACGTGGGCTATGATGTCCAAAGTACAGTAGGCGACTTCTGCCATATAAACCGGCCAGAGGTGCAGTTTGTACGCTTCTGTTCCAAGGTGGGTTTGGGGGGCAGTTATTAAAAGGTTTTGTACACTCAGCTTTGTCCCTTTTAGGCAGGAGAGAGCATCTGCTGTCAGAGCAGTCCCAGTCCTCAAGGGGCTTATAAACTGTCAGGGAGTATAATTTTAATAGAATTAGCTGAAAGATGAGCAAGTGTCAGGTGGTGGTTTGGAAGTGTGTCATGGCTGCTAATTTTGACATGCTAAGTGTAACATTATTAATGGCTTTTATGCATGGCCAAGAGGGCTAACACTTAGCAAATTAGATTCCAAAACTTTTGTCCTGCTCTTATCATTTATGGGTATGATAGAGTATGTTACTTTGGGCAAAACATTTAATCCCTCTGTGCTTGGACTTCGTGTCTCTAAAATAGGAAGCTTTCTTTAGAGGCAGCTAAACATTTTGAAAGCTACAGATAAAAAGCACTGCAGGATTCTCTCTCCTCCCACCCCCACTCCAACTACTGACTCAGTCTCTCCGAAAGGTCATCCATTTCACTGAATCCTTTCAATTGCTAACTCCCTAAGTCAGTTAATTAGCATGTTTCTAAAATGCATTCACCGGTCCTGAGCTGAAAGATAGAGTCTGTAACTGCCTTTTTGACCTTCTGGGCCTGCCCATCTTGCTGACCCCTTTTTATTCAGTGGCTGGTACCACATGACTCCCATCTCAAGTTCTTGGATCAATTCCAGCTATACTGGAGGGGAATTAGAGTTCTATATTAACACTCCAGGATCTCAACATAAGGCAACCATGATCGGTGTGAAATTTGGTCCCGGTTCTGGGCATTAAGTTCCTGCTTCATTTCTAACTCTCACTCTGTTTACCAGGTCTGGCCTTTGGACACTTGTCTTACTGCCCTGAGCCCAAGTCCTTGCCCCCCAAACTCGCCCAGTCTTATATCATCTCAGGGAGGTGCATTCTCTTTGTTTTTGTCATTTCCTCATTGGAAGAGGAATCCAGACCTGGAATCCAGCACTGAGGCTTGGGCCCTGCTCTAAGCAACACATTTTCTTAATGCCTCTGCCGTGATTTCCCAATTTTTGTCTGTTCCTGGATTTCCCAAGATTGTGTTCCAGCTGCCAGCTGACAACACTCATTCTCTGCGTTGAACCAGCCTGATGCTGGCTGCCATCCTGGCTGCTGTTCCACACCCCCCAGATACTGTCTTTTGGCTGCAAGCTCGTCCCACCGCGTGGGGGGGGGGGGGGTTCTGCCTCCAATTCCACGGATGTATCTACTTCTACCAGTCCACCTCACTCCTATTACAGTTAATCCTTCTATGTTAAACTACAGTAGGTATTTACTGGTGTGGAAACTGATGTGGTACTGGAATTTTATCCTTGTTTACATCTTTCTTTGTGTCGGAAAGCTTGGGATCAGTTCCAGAATCTGCTCAGAGAGCTTTCCTGTCTCCTTGGAAGAAACAAATGAACACTTGACAATACCTTGTATCCATGACCAAGCCTCAAGGCAACTATTTTCACTGTAAAACTTGTATTATTTAACCTTAACTTTGCTTTTAGACATACTCATATATTTAAAAGTTAATTTTGGCCAATTGTGGTTCATGTCTCTCAATTTCAAGGTATCTTATTGGAACTCATTGATAGTTCTATAGTGGCAGTTTCAATCTTCAAGGCACATTAGAATCTTCCAGAGGGCTTGTTAAAATAGATTGCTGGATCCGAAGACCGAGTTTCCCTGGAGTAGTGCCTGAGCATTTGCAACTCTAACAAGCTCTCAGGTGATGTTGATAGAGCTGGTTCTGGGACTACTTTGAGAACTGGTCATACATTCAAACAGGCCACAGGTAAGCAGAAGCTGCTGAGCAGTTATTCATCAGTTCAAACTCTTATCTGAATGGTTAAGGTAGACAGCACTGAGAAACAGACTTCCCATGTTCAGTTCACGCTGTTAGGATGACTGCTGATGTCAGAGGTCTTCGCAACAACCTATAACTTACAGAATGTGGATAGTTTCTTTGAGCTTTGGTTTTCTCATCCATAAAATAAGGGTAGTCGCCTCTATGCTGCCCTCACTGGAGTGTTGTGAAGGCAAATGAAATGGGTGTGAAAATGTTTGAACTGTAAAGTGGTATGGCACTAGAAGGTACTGCAATGGTTTTTCAATTCTCTTAAAATGTCACCAGTGTCTTTTGGCTCTCTTTCTTCTCTCGTTAACTACAGCAACTTTAATCCAGGAATATAAAAGAGTACTTTTATTGCTATTGCTATCAAAACTTAAACTTCAAATGCTACAAAAATTTCATTCAATGAGATCAGACATGCCTTATAAACATTATACAGAGCCAAGAATGAGTCTCGGTTTTTACAGCTATTAAAAAGTACAAGACCCTATTGTGACTTGCGGTGCATTTATAGTTAATGTTTCATCCCTGTTTAGATTGGCCTATTAATAACAATGGTTACAAGTTGCAGCGCGTTAAACAATAAAATCACCACGCATGTGATAAACCTGTCCACTCCACACTTTTACATCTCTTGTAACTTCTATTAATTTATCTCTTTTCGGAAGTGGTAAGTCCTCCCAACGCTTGACAAAGCTATTTTTCTCACCCTAGGACTCCCAGGCCACTCCAATCACCAACACAGTTCTTGTTCAAACTGGGTGCATTTGTGATTTTTCAAGTGTCATCACTGTACCTAATTCTTCCAGGCCTTCAGTGAATATCACAGTGTTAGCCTCATTGTTCCTAGGCCTTTATTAAATATCATAAAACGTCAGCCAGGGTGCTGACAAGGTTCTGAAGACAAGGTTTTGGAGAGTGAAAGTCCAGGTTCAGGGACTGATCAATGAACTTGCCAGATTTGCTGCCCGGAGAGGAATGGGGTTTCCTGGAGGCCCTGCGGCGTGTCACCCGCAGCCCGGCCCCAGGCACGCTCGGCGCGCGCTTCTCCCGGGGGCAGGCAGGAGGCGCCCGCGGCTACCCAAGGGCTGCGCGCACTCGCGCTGAGCCGGTGGCGGCGGGCGGGGGGGGGCGGGGGGAGAGGAGAGAAGAGGAGGAGCTGAAGGGGGCGCGGCTTGCTGCCCGTCCCTCCCGGGCGCTGGGCCTCATTCTCCGCCGGGCCCGGGGCTGGCGGCCGGCTGGGGGTCGCAGCGGCAGCGGCGGCGACGCTGGCGGGCCGCGCGTGGCGGGGCCTGGCTCCGGCTCTGAGTGTCAGGGGACAAGATGGCGGCGGCGCTCCGGAGGCCGGTCTCCTCCTCCTCTTCTTCGCTCTCCTCCGCCCCACCGCTCGCCGCCTCCTCCTCGCTCGCTGCCTCCTCCTCCCGCTGCAGCAGCCCTAGCGACCGCCGAGGCGCCGGCCTGCTGTGCCGGAGCTCCGGAGGAGGATAGACGGGGCAGCCGCGGGCTCCGGTGACCGAGGCAGAGCTGGGGCCGGGGCGGGGGCGACGGCGGCGGCGGCGGAGGCGCCGGGGAGGGATGGGGTCGCAGACGTTGCAGATCCTCCGGCAGGGGGTGTGGGCCGCGCTCAGCGGGGGCTGGTACTACGACCCGCACCAGGCCACCTTCGTGAACGCGCTGCACCTCTACCTGTGGCTTTTTCTGCTCGGCCTGCCCTTCACCCTCTACATGGTGAGTGTGGGGGCGGGGAGGAGGTGGTTCCTTCCCTTTCTGGCTGGTCCTGGGGAGCGCCAGCTTTCCGGAATCCGGCGGGCAGTCGCGCCTCCCTGGCCCGGGGCCGTGGTTGCGCCCTCTTTCCCTTCCCCAGGCTGCTCCCCACCTTCCGTCCCTCGGAAGCTGCCCCACTCACTGTCATGCTCCCCTCCCCCCACCCACACTCTCTGCTCTCGCCTCTTTAGGGTTTCCTCTATCTTGGAGGTGATACCAGAAACGAAACAGCAGCAGCCCCCACCTCCCGCCCCCGTGCGCCCAACCAGTGAACTGGGAACTGGTAGCTTCCTAGGCCCCTTCGTGGGAGGGTGGGGTGGGGTGGGGGGATCCCGCACCCCTAGCCTTTCCATCTTTTCTACCCGGCTGGGCAAAGCCGTAGTGGGGCTCCCCGCCCTCAGCGTTTTGTGCTGGGCGCTGAGCCTGCCTCGCCGGAGGGGACGCCGCATTCCAGCCCCGCACGCGCGCCCGTTCGCGCTCCGTTCCTCGGGCACCCCGGGGCACTCCCTTCACCCGGGGCCGCTTTGCGCCTCCTCTCCTGGGAGAACCCTCGTTCCCACCACCTCGCCCTGATCCGGACGCAAAGCCCTGGGAGCGAGGAGGACCGGGCGCCGCTCTTCTGGGAACGTACTGTGTGTGGGTCGCCAGCTCTTAACTCGCTAAGAGGTGGTGGTTGAAAACCTGCCTCCTAACCTTGCCTCTGAAAAATCATTGTTTGTTTTTTTTTTTTTTTGCTTACCACGGACTCTTTTCGGTTCGGCTCCGTGGTCAGCGGCTGTTGTGTTGTTTCCTGGCCAGCTCTGGGGGTAGGGCGCGGGGGCGATACGGGGAATCTGGCTGGCATTTTGGCAGATTTGTTTGGGTTGGTTCAAGGCCTTTCACTGATTGGCAGAAGGCAAGTACTGCCTGTTGCTGAGTTCAGTATGTGATTAGCTTCTCCGAATGATCTATGTTTTTAAGCTGTATTTTTACTGAAAGTTGTAAGCGCATTTTTTTTTAAACACTTAAGGTTAGGGTGGGGCAATAGGGGAAATAATGTGGAAGAGCGATGGTACTTCAGCTTGAATTAAAATTTTTTATATAACGGGAAGGGAGGAAAAGATGGTAACTTTGTTTTAGGAGAGTTGCTTTGAGTATATTTCAGCTAACTTTGTGGTTCTTCATGGAGCCGAATGAGGGTGCTGGGTTAGAAAATCTGACACTTCGACCGTAAGACGTGCTAAAGGTCAGAACACCCAACTTTTCCTTAAGCGAAGCTTATGTTTACTAATTGGCAGGAAAAGCGTTTGCTTGGGAGAAGATGTGCTAAATCTCACTTTTCTCAAGCAGATTTTAATTTTTTCATTGAAATTGTTTTGAAGGGACCTATTGCTTGAGGCAAAGAAACCATTCAAAAAATGCTGATGACTGATGGCTTATTTGTGTTCAGGGGACTTGTACAGCCTTGTCCCATTCTGAAAATTTATCACAAAGCATTATAATTTTCAATTAATTCTGGTCTAGGGAGTCCTCTTTGTGCTTCTGTACCTTCCAGGAATATGACATCATTAATGTACAGGTTAATTACTTTGGGTGTAAGAAGGCGCAGGCTGTCACAGAGCTTTCTTTTGCAGCGGATTTCTGTTATATCCAGGAGGATTGTGAATTTGAAAGTGAAACAGGTCTTTGAGATGTACTGATTAGGTGCTGTGTCCTAGTGTAAGGGTTCCATGTTAGTATGTGAACCGTGCTGGTGGCCAAGTCTTTGGGTATTCAACAAACATTACTAAAGAAAATTGAGAGCAAATAGAAAGCAATACACTGAGTTTAATGCTTCATTTGGGGAGTTTATTCAGTTAAATTTAATCCCCAAGTAATATTTCAGTGTCTGCTATGTACTGGGCAGTTTGCTGGGTTCTGGGAAAATAAAACTGATTCTCTGACTTTCTTGTCTCAGTTAATGGGAACTCTACTCTTATTAAGTCTTTTAAAAGCTCTCCTTGATTCTTCTCTCATCACATCCAATTTATCAACACTTGTGGATTCTGCCTTCAAAACCTGACTAGAATCCAGCAGATCATCATCATTGCTTCCTGGGTTCAAGCCACTGCTGTCTCTTCTATATTATTTCAGTGTTCTAATCAGGCTCACTGCTTCCATTCTTTATTCTCTGTTCTCCATACAGGTGTCTGAGTGATTCTTTCAACTTCTCTGCTCCCAGAGCCTGCCCTCCCGTGTGTCGGTCACTCCCCCCACCCCCCACCGGCCATATACATTTACCTTCTTACAATTTATCCCACACAACTGTGTTCCTGCCTCATGGCCTTTGCACATGCTCTTTGCCCTTTGTCTGGATGACTCCTTTCCTCCAGGTATCCATGTGACGTGCTCCACTTATTTCAGCTTTCACTTATATGTGAGGCTTTCCCTAAAAAACCTATGTGAAATACCAACTTCCCAGCTCCTACAGTACTTCCTATTCCTAGCCTTCACCCTTCTTTGATAGCACTTACCACTAATTGGTACACATTTATTTACTTAATGTCTCTCTTGTCTCATTAGATTATAAGCTCTGAGGGGGCAGAGACTAATGTGTTAAAAAATGTGCTCACAACTTTTGGTGAAAATAGAGCTTAAAAAAACTTAGATCATTTGGAGAAGCTGATTGTACCAGATTCAGCAACAGGCAGGAAAAGGCTGTGAACCAACCCAAACAAATCTGAAAGTTCACTGTGTTATTGTCAGGGCCAATGTCAGTGCCAAGCACAGAGTCAATACTCAGATGTTAAATAAATGATTAGAAATGAAGAAGACATAGCTTTTGCCCTCAAGGAACCTAAAGTCTAGCTCGGGAACAGTGAACAGTTATAAGCCTTAGGACTGTCTGTGACCCTGAGCTTATAGTCAGGGGGATGATCTTGGTTTCACGGCAGCCAGCAAAGAGGATTTGTTAACGTTTTAGAAAGCATGCCTGTGCTTCAGTATGCTTGTACATGCTTGTATTTAGGGTAGGTAGTTTGAAATACACGCTGGAAGGAAAATCCGTGATTTCATGTTAAAATCTCAGATAGTTATAGATTATTACTCTTTGTTCTTCCAATAATAATTATAGATGATGATAACTTTTTATGATGTTCTTTATCCCAAACTGTCACGAGCATATGTTCGTGATACAGTCTTTCCTCTAAGTCAGCTGGGCAACCACTTGGCTAGCTGTCTGCTGAGCAGCCTGGCACCAAGGAATAGACAAGAGTCACACATAGTAATTATGCTGTTCACTCAGCTTTTATTGAATGCAGGTTCACTCAGAGTAGAACATCAACATATAATAATATCCTACACACAGAGCAATCAATGGGGGATAAGGAACCGGAGTCCCAGAATCTCAGTCTGAAGGTCTAGGAGACAGCATGGTGGGCAAGGGAGTTGTCAGAGTCTTGCAAGGAAGAACTTTTGGATCCAGGTGGGCAGCAGGGCAGGCATGGTCCTCAGTCCAGCAGGGCAGAGCCTCCGGTGGCCAATGCCATGGGAAATGAGCATGGTGTGGAGCAGCACTCCGGTGTGTGGGGCTTGGCTGTCTCAGTGGGGGGTCTGGCGCCTGCCTCAGTTAGACCTTGCAAGTGGTGAGCACCACCCCTCTGGATAAATGTCTCGGCACCCCTGCTGCCAAGTGGGGAGTTTGCTCACGGGCCTATGGGTGGTTCATGGCTGTTCTTGACACCCCTGCTGGCAAGTGTGGAATTTCCCCAGGAGCCTATCTATGGGTGGTCTCGCTCTGCAGACACGGCTTCTCTGACCATGTGGGCAGATGTGTCTCCTTGCCAGATGTGTTGGTTCTGACTTAAGGAATTTTCCTTTTGAACCAAAGTGTCATGGCTGACTGACAGCCATTTTAGTTGACATAAGTGACTCCACTTTATTTTATGTACTTGATGCTATCATAGTTGGACCAGTGCCACTTTATTGGTCCTGTTCTCCACCCAACCCCTGTGTCCTCATTTTATTGATGATACCTGAGGTTCAGCCATCGGTGACTTGTTTTGTGGCCTGAGGCAATGTGAGCTGGGATTTGATTTACATGGAACTCCGAAAGCCATCACACTGGCAGCCTTTTCTTAGATTCAGAGTCTGGAGAGGTCATACATTGACTTAGGAAGATTTTTAGGTCTTTGGTTGTTTGGGGTTTGCAGGCCCTCCGCTCAGTCCACTGAGCTACACCAGCCAGGGCGAGCTTTTGTTGTTTTTAGTATCCGTTTTGGTAAATATAATGGATGCTTTTCTGCTTTTGTTTTAGTTAAAAGTTTTTTATTGAGCAAATTTCACATAAAATATTGTATAAATTGAAGGTGTACAACTTCTATTTTTATACTCACCTGAGGACACGCTTATTTATTATAGAGAGAGGAGGAACGGAAGGAGAAAGAGAGGGACAGAAATACCAATCAGTTGCCTCTTGTACGTGCCCTGACTGGGGACTGAACTTGCAACCTAGGCATACGCCTAGGAATTGAACTGGGAGTCAAACCCATGACCTTTCAGTTTACAGGGTGACCCTCCAACCAACTGAGCCACATCGGGCAGGGCCCATCTTGTTATTTTATAACAACACATCTATATATTGTAATTTGATTGCTGTTGTAGTGAGATTTATCACATTACATAACAATAGTATATTTTATACGTATACACACCAGTTCTCTGTGTTTTATTTGCTACTGGTTGCAAGTTTGTACCCTTATAAAAAAATGGGTTTGTTTTAGATTCCATATATTAAGTGATCATGCGATAGAACAGATGGGGGTGGTATACGATATACTATTACCAAAAGGACTCCCCCTTTTTCTCCAGGGGTTTCCCCCCTGGACTAGGTTCATTTTGCCCACTGCCAGAGGAAAGACATCTCTCAATGCCAGAGACTGGTGAAAAGGAAAGGAATTATTTATTTAAAAGTTATGCAGACTTAGAGTAATGACTTAATGTCTTCA